ATTGTCACTCAATTTTTTAATTAAAGTATTTAATACCTAATAGATTAATAAGGATTAAACGATTTTAAAAAATCATTATAAAACTTAAATGGATATTTCCAAAATTTAAAGTGTAGATATGTATTATTATATTAAAAATTATGCTTTCAGCGAATATCTATTAGTAAAACATAACACAAAACTTTAAAATATGACATTGGATCACGGCCTATAAGTTATTATTAAATGGATGATACGATTAGTCATATAACAAATCCCTTTAGGCACTACATCTGGACCTTTGTCGCTTTAAGTTGACTTGTTTCTGGTTTCAAGTGTTTTGGTTATTTTAGTAGGGCAAACTTCGTCAAAGACACACAAGTTTGAGTCACACTCGAAACAGTTTCTCCGATAAATGGATAATCTCTTGGCAGGTTTTTAAGATGTCAAAATATGTGCTCACCTATTCTGCTCGGAAAACTTAACTTGAGATAACAACGGTAGTTCTTAGAAAACTTAGTAGTAGATAAAAACAACTTGACGTATACTTTGTATGTGCTATGCGCATTATTTGTGATAATAATCGGTTTATAGCGAGGGAAGTCTCTAACTCGTTACACCTATAGTTTTTATGTAAAAAACAATACAAATTTAATTGTAGAACTGCCTGACAACGTATTATATAAAATAGAAAAAATAATAATGTCATCATTACATTTTTTGTACTAAAATCTTCAAAATATATATGTACCTACAATTTACAAGCTTATATATTATGATCGTCTCAGATTTCGATAGGTACTCTTTAAGAATAGTTACAATATGAGTCGATTACATGGTAAGAAATATTTATATTTTATTGTAATAAAATATTGGTTGAAATAATTTGAATATGTTTCCCTTCAAATAATATGATGTTTGGTTATCTAAGCTCGTTAATTTCTTTATCGATCATTTATTTATGCGCTGTGGCCTATAACAGACCACAATATTGTAAATTTTCTTAAATGTCATATATTCGAATCGTTTTGTCATTGGTTCCGTTGATAAATTAACGGTGTTTAAAACCACATTAATTCCTCTTAGGTTATATCCAAAAATACCAATAAGATGTTTCCCATCACAGCAACTATTGTATTCTAACCAAAAATGTATCTAATATATTGCATACCAAGGTCTATGAACTAAATTATATATTGTGGTTATATTCAACGTGAATGAACTCTTACTTCTAAAAATATTCATACATTTTGATTTTAATATTTTATTATGACTAATTTCTAATAAAAGTAATACTTTTTATATAATAGTAAGTAGTAACCTATTTAGATTTCATAAGCAATTACTTGTGCTATACGTTTCTATTTTATTCTTACCTACTTTAGAACTTCAATTTTCTAATCATCCAATCCAAACTTAAAATAGTTACAGGTATTTATAATAACATACAATATCCACACATCATTATTCCAACGTATTAGATCACAGCTAGTGTAATGAATCGTCCATAAAAACCTTCCTCCGATTGATTAAATTGTTTGAAATCAATATCATTTATACCACAGTAGTGGTTACCATTTAAAATTTAATGATCACTACCGCGTTGCAGTTTTAATCAAATAATTACAAACGCTGTTCAAAATATTGATGAATTTGGATGACAATAATATTCTGTATAAATTCACACGTATACGTCATAACTCATGGCATCGAACAATTACGATACACGCGTACATGGTATTTGTACCAGATATAATTCATATTATTAATGTATATTTTATATTATAAGTTTAATCGAGATTAAATAGAAACAATAATGCCATAAATTTAAATATCTAGTAGGACGAGTAAAGATATTATTATTAGCCTTTCAAAAATAAATTATTCCCACAATAATGTGTTATTATTTTATTATACATTATGACTTAATCGCAAATATATATCCATATATCTATAAACATTTTATTTTAATATTTAGCACGTTTCTGGAAGTAACATACACGTGACCACGTTCTTAGGTCCATTTTAAGCTAAGCTTCAAAGTTCAAGATGAGTATTATTGGAACCGATGAAGCAACTACTTGAGCTACCGGGTGTATGCGGATATAGTCAAATGTACCCAAGTTCTGAGGAATTTAAATAATATCCTAAGATAATAATTAATAGTTATAAATTATAAGTCATGAGTAAACATGCGTGGTAAATACCACAGATATGTTAACATGTGGTTAATGCGCGTAATCACCACAATATGTTTGTACTCAGATTATAACCCGTTTTACTGAGACCGCGTGGGATCTGCGCTGAGATTATTGTTGATTGTATGGTAGTTCATAATGAATTTCTTTTTCGCTAACACGTATTATGTGTATAAACGTGCAGATTATATTTAGTGTCAGAATTTGTGAAAAATTTAACTACGAGGATGCTGGGAGGGGCTAGAAACTCCCCGCTGGTCTCTTTGGCGTAAAGTAAAATGGTATACGATGGCGGTGGTGGTGGTGGTGCAGTACTGCGGTATTTAAAATACACAATTTGCTCCTAAGACTGAAAAACTTCTCACCGCCGCTACTCGTGAGCTTTTCAAGGCTACAGGTACGCCGGCTTTGACCAAACCTATCCATATACGATATATACAGTGACAGCTGCTGTGCGTGGTCGGCGAAAATTCGTAACGGTAAAACCGCACCCGAATGGCGTTGCCGGCGACATATATTATGACGTGCCTGGAAGTTTGGACTATATATATATATATATATGTATATAAATACGGTGGCTTTGAAGAATTTAATATATTATTACATACACCTACAAACTGACCAGCGGCGTCGGTGCTAACCCCCCCCCCCTTCTCAGTCATCTCTCGGTCGGGTACAACACACATCCCACGGCGGACGTCCTCCTTCCCTCCCTCCGATCGTCCAACCATCCCCTAACGCCACTAATCCCACCATCCCCCCCTACGAGGTGGCACGCGCTGCGACCTCTCTTTCCCCACACCGGTCATTTTCATCACCATTCTATTACCACAAAATGCGTTCGTATAATATACTTACTCCGTCCGCCACCGATGAAGTCGTGCGCGTTCTTGACGTCCGATGGGATAGGGAGTGGTGGCCGGGGAGAGAGCCGATGTTATATATTATATTATATTATATACTTAAATACTTTACGTTTTAAAATAGTATATTTTCGTGCAGTTTTCATTTATGTGACTAGCGTTCTACGAGTGAAATGCTTTCCAGAAAATAAAATGGTAACCGCTGTTATTAGACCACAAGTGCTGTGTACAAGACGAATAAAACAAATGACATCAAATAAATATTTTATATTCTAATAACTATATTGGTGTTGTACCAAAGCATACTCCGTTAGTACGTCAGATATATTTTTGTACACAAATAAATGAATAATCTTATGACGATTTTATTATCAAAGTACTATGGTATTAATATAGACAAACTAATAAAAATTCCGAGTGAAATTTAAGGTGGTTTTTCGTTGTTAAACCAACCTGTGACAAAATTGTTAGACTTATTTGATTTTTGTTCAATCATATCTATTGAAGAAACCCAAATTGAAAATAAAATCCTGTATAGTTCTCTAGAGGATAAGTTAATAAATATTAGGATTTTTACAGAATTAAAACCTCAAGTCACCCTACTTCTTACAATTTTGCCACTGCCGGAGTATGTTTTTACTCGAAAAGCACAGAATATAAACTAAACAATATTATACTGACCCGGATGTACCTGCCACATAATTTACCCGATTCTTACTCCTTAAAAAATGACCAACTGGAACCTCCTTAATGGAAATTATAATTGTATGTATATTTATTTGATTTATTCTAAGGCATTCGACGGGATACGATGGGTATTACATTTTAGAAACGCATTAAGGCCAAAAATATCATCGTTTAAACACAAAAGACCGTTAGTTATGTCTGTGCACTGTACAATTTAAAGTTATGTATACGTTATACGTATAATACATACATATAACACCTGTCACACAATTTTAGGAAAATAAACGTTTTCCCTTACCATGTGAATGTACAGTATACAGCATAGTATGCGTGTGCGTGTGCGTGTGTGTATTTCCTCTCGGTGAAAAAATACCCATCAAAAACGTGACACCCCAATCCCCCTCCCCCCAACACCACAATAATCTGCCATGACGATCATTATGCAACCGGACAACGCTGTGTGGAATGTTCTCTTTCGCGGTCCCGTCACACATCCTCACGACCCTTTTCCCGCTGACGTGCATATACCTACCAAAATATTATATATATTTGTATAGTATTAGTTTGCCATTCCGACGTAATGATGGACGCGCGTTCAGGTTTTGGGTACTATATCATATTATTGACAATACCTACTTGCCGTTTGACGATGTGCGGTGTCGATTTTTATGTAATTTTACTCCATTTAAGTTTGTTGTTCTGTCACCTCTTCCATGGTCATTCATTCTGCCGAAAACTTTTCAAGAGAAATTTCCGAGCTTTCCGAGTAGTTTTTCGTGGTCCATCGGCTTTTGCGTTTCGTTTTTAATAAACGAACTACCTATACTACACGGATGTGTGTGTGTGCGTGTGTGTGTATGTATGTGTGAGTAAAGATGGATATACTCGCACGCCAATACGATATATTATTTTCGTTCAGCGTTCGGAGTGTCCATCACTCATGACTCATGAGTCATGGACGTCGCGTTTTCCCCCGTTCTCTGTATATTATTCTGGTAGACAGGTTGTAGGTGCCGTGGAAATTCCAAACCCTACATGTGCATATTGTTATATCTTCGACCTCCTTCTCGCCTAAAGGTCGGGCCAATTGTTGACGTGTACTTCTATTATATAAATTTATATCTTCAGGTGGTTCGAAATTATCATTTCCGTATATAAAACAACAAAATCTTTTATGTAAAAAATCATCAATCGATTATTTTAATCGAAAAATGCATTTACACTATTACAATGTTAAAATTACATGTACAAATAATTTAATATATTTTTTCAGATGGAATAACCAGTTACACGATCCCAGTTGACGGATCTGCGAGTGACAATACGGACGTAGCAGACCTTTCATACGACGGTGTGGTGCGAGGTGACAAAATTCAAGGAGGTCTCGGACGTTTGGTTGACGGTGTGCGCGGAGAGGATAACTATAAAATGGATATCGGTTACGGAAAAGGTAACACAATACTATTATTATAAAAACGCTTAGTTTTATATTGAACAAAACAATAATTGAACTATTTGGACGCATATTACATTACAATCTAGAACGAACTCAATTGTTATGGCAGGACTTGTGCAAACAAAAAATCACTTTTATGATTAATAAATAGTTTTATAATTGTTCCATAAAATATTTCAGTTATAATACATATCACTTAAGTCTATATGATTAACAAAACCGTGGCTTTTTATTATTCTAACCATTATATTATATTGTTTTTAATGCTTATATATTACATACAAACATTAAATTTATTAATTAAATGCTCAACTTAAAAGTAATAACCATTTTTGACTACGGTGCACCGCTGGTACTATATTGTGACTAATACCCGGATAATAGAGTTAATTAATCTAATCTGTATATTTTATGATGCAATATAACGGCATCCGTTTAACCGATAAAATATACCAAAAAGTAAAACCTCATCCTCCAAAATATATTATCCAGGAACGGTAAGCACGTAATATTAATCCAAGCGACAGCAGCGTTCTTATACGTAATCGCTCACGAACGACCCATTGTTAAATATATTATATTACGCGCACCTAAATATCTGTCTAATTTTATAGCTCGTTGTCGAATAATAATTTTACTTCTTCTGTGCTGCTGTGTTCGATGGCAGAAAGTATAAAGTAGTTATATTAATAACAATAATATATTATTATGGTTTACTATAAAGAACAACGACTACGGCGATTATGATGATGATGACGACGACGACGACGACGATGATGATGACGATAATAATAATAATAATAATAGTGTAGTCACTTGTTTCAATATTCGCATAGTGAATATTATTTACTGTGTAAGTGTACAGTGTATAATAATATTATACAATATTATTCGCGTATATTATTATTATGATTGTTATTAACATCGCGGGCATCTGCGGGTTGTGACGGCAACGGACCGTTTTATTCAATTAATATTTTTCCTGCGCGCCAAACTTTCGGAGCGCAGCCGGTTTGTGCTCGCGGAATGTGACGTTTGTAAAAGCTAATGATATGGACGTTTTAATAAGCCCCGGGAAACTTGCACACGTTCTGCTGCAGTCTCCGCGTGTATATAAATAATAATTCATGTTTCAAAATCCCCGGCAATAACAATAACAAATAAACGTGCGTAACTTCGGAAAACGAAAGCCTTATAATATTTTGCGCCAGTGACGGGGGGTTTGGTGATCGGCGTGTGGAGAGGTGGTGAGCGGGGTGCGTTTGTGGGTGAAGGAGAAGGCGGCGGTGGATGGTCGGACGGAAACGTAGGGGTTCATTATAACAGAACGGAGGTGAATGTATATATAATATTGTTATACGCGTATAATTTTGAATATTACGACTCTCCGAGCATGACATGAAATACGATAAAGTAAATCGGGGAAAAACTATATACTAATGGAACAACGGGTAATGACTGCGGGCTCCCTTCACCTCCACACCGCGTCACAGCCGCATTCTAAGAGTTATTTAACTTTAACCCTTGAGCCTTCTACCACATCCCTCCCCGTGTCATTTTTTTTATTTTTTTTTTTTTATACACATAATATAATTATTATTATTATTTATTTCCCCGACGTATACATATATATATATATATACACATTATATATCGGGGAAAGATATATATACGTATATACGTATATGCGGGTTACGTTTATTATAATATACATCATTGAAATTTTTAATACACTGTATAACGAGAAAACCATAATAACTGTGGTGGGGTGATAGTCATAATAAATATACACAGTACAGTGGCGTATTACAAGTATTAACCACCGTGACTGTATCACACACAAGCTCCCTAAATAATTTATACCGAAATGTCTGTGTCACAGGAATAAAATTAAATTTAAATTCACACTCATATACCTATATATTATAATAACATAAAAATAATAGTGAATTGTATCGTTACTTTTCCGGTGACGCGTACGATACACGCAGTAGAAATAATAATAATAATACAGTATTATAGTTTAACGCATATAAGACAAATAAAATGAGAGATGTCGTTAAAATGTTGTGAAAAGTTTTTTAACGACTATAATAGTCGAGTATCATTGATTTTTACGATGTTCGCTGTGAAAATGTGTAATGTGCCTACCTAATATACCTATCGAAAAGATGAGCAAAATAGATACAAGAATCGAAATTGATTTGGTGACATTTAAAATATATATAACTTTGCATGAATAACCTGCAGACTAATTAAAACATTAAACAGGAAATTAAATTTTAAACGATGAAGTAATACAGAAAATAAATAGCTACAAAATAATGGAGGTGATGATACGTATTTGATATTTCGGTGTATTCGTGAAATAATAACTATGTTAACATTAATTTATCAGTTATTAATAAATTATATTTCTTCTTATTAAAGTTATTTGTTCCAAAGAGTTTGACTCACATTTTATTTGCATGTTCTTGAAGAATCATTTAAACAGGAAAATAAATCATATCCACATGTTTATTATGATGAATATGCTAGTTGGTATTGGTATAGGTTACAAAATTGCATGTGGTTAATATTCAACAAATACTTTTTTGTAATAAGGTAACAAAAAATATTAAACTAAATATTTGTTATTTTGTGTTTTAAAAATTAGTTTTTTCCCTGACACTATGTGTGTATACCTAATATATTTATGTTTATGTTATGTGTTATACAAGGCAACTACGTAGCTTTTGTTACACATTAACACATTAAAATATTATATTTAAGACTTTGGTCACAATATTAAATAGGTTTAGAATAAAAGTATAACGAAAAAATCACACATATTTCATACTTTAACACCAAATATCAATGTTACTGTTTGTAGATGTCAAATGTCAATTTATTCATGTAATATCAGTTTTTATATACAACACTATAATCATATTAATATTTTTCGATACAATTTAAATTGATGATGAATCATTGCATTTAAAAAATAATTCAGTGCGGAGAATGGTTATGATGTCGAAACTGGCATTTTCGTACACTTCACTACATATTTTGATGTTACTTTTTCCTATTTCTTTCAAAACTACTTGAAAATTCGAAATACTGCCAGCTTATAGTTCATTCTGAATTCACTTTCCAACCTAAAAAGCCAAAAAGGCACTACCTTAAACTGTTCGATCTTTTTACTGCTATAAAAAATGTTAACAAAAAACAAAAACAAGTAAAAAAAATTATATTATAAAACCTGTATAGTTTCTGTCCTCTACTCGGAATCTAAATTAGTCATAAAAATATTATATCCACATTATTTATTTAATGTTGCACTACTCCATCCGACATAAAATATTTTTATACATTGTAGATTGTATTTATAATGTCTATCATAATTTAATGTTTATTGATGATTTGATTGTTTTAACAATGCTCACATGTATTATTAAAGAACATAGTCTAGGAATATTAGCAACTTTGAAAATCTTTCGCTATTGTTAATTTAATTAATTTTAAATTTTAAAAATATGTAGATACTAGTATACTAGGTACTTATTATTTCAATATAGTGTTGTATAAATAGGTAGTTGTAAAATGATTTGTAAAAGAGACTTGGGACCCATGACCTACCAATATATTGTTATATTTTATACTACAATTTCAATCTCAACTAAAATTGTATCATTAAATAATATTAACGACTTGAAAAACATTGTAATAATGCATGTATTTATTTTATTTAGGTAACGGATGGGTTGGATGGCGTAAAGAATCATTCTCAAAGGGATATGTGGAACTAATATTCGAATTTAGCGAAGTAAGAAATTTTTCGGCTGTGCACATATTCACCAACAATTTTTTCAGCAAAAACGTACAGGTGAGTAATTTCATGAAATCCTTAGAATGTTCTTTTTTACGATGTTATTTGAAATACACGTCAGAGTTATTTCATTTTGTCTTACAAAAGGGAATTTTCATAATAAATCCTAAAACTAGTAAAAACCTGCCGGCTATGGCTTAATGATCTCTTAGAAATAATATAAAAATCGTAAGTTTCAAGCACTGTTGAAGTATGTTGTACAAACTTCTTCATCCTTAAAACGGGATGAATGTGTGCGGGTGTGTGTGTAAAAAAATATACTTGTAACAATAAAAACTCGGGGCTTATATGGATGCGTGTTCACACACTACATTTAAACATGCTAACCTAAAACAATGGGAGAATAACAACAGTAATGTGCTAATGAACCTCATAATATACAAACATGTCTCTTAGTTTTAATTATTTAAAATCAATAAAATAGCTCAAAATTGACCTCTACAAACTATTTTTATTTATTCTGGGATGCTTCAAATATAATTATTTAGACCATACAACTTCTCATAGTGATTTTTGAATGTATTTTATAATATCAACAAATATTTGATCAACCTGTCCCGAAATACAATTTAAATACAAGTTATAACATACTATAATAATACTCATCACATTATTATACAATAACTAACAATAATTACGGTGAGACGTTAATTGTTCTTTGATAATAGATAACTATTACGGCTAAGGTGTACATAATATGTTGAATAAATCAAAACAAAGATGAGCTAACCATGTATCTTACACCATGATGTATATTATACACTTAAATGGGCAATTATCATCAATATAATAGGCTTATGGTAATTTCATGTGTATAAATCACTGTTTAATGTGTACTCACTAGGTGCGGCCAACTCAATTAAATGTTTTAACTTTGAAGTTATAGCTTTAAAGGATTATTATTACTATACTACGAAGAAATTAAATCATTATTATAACTTTGTAAAAGCAAGTATAATAATGTCCACTTTTAAAGTACCTAATACTAAACTATTGTTAACTATAAATTAAAAATTATGTTTTTTCTATGTTTGCAATAGTAAAGTTTTCATTCTATAAATCAACTATCAATTTTTACTCCACATAAACAGTATGTATTATGTTTTCAGATTCCAAAGATATAAATCTATAGTTTGTTTGATAAAAATTAAAATTCGTAAAAATTGTACATTTTGTACGGTTTACGACTTGTATTATTATTGGGAAGTTGTAATAATATTAACTTATTACAGTACGAGTATACTATATTTCATGTTTATCATATAAATATATAATAATAGAACTTTGATGACTCACTCATAATGAAATTTACTAAGCTATAACTTTCAAGCTTATGTTAGGAATATTGAATTCGATACAACATTGATGACCACTTTCTGCTTAAAAAACAGAGTAGACATTTAATAAATTACCATTATGAAATGATATAATAGTACTGTAGTAAATACTAGATAGAAATATATATCTCACCTAATTCTATTTGTCATAATTAAACCCTGACATTTATCATTTCTTAGTTTTTGATTTAGTTATAGTATAACAATACAATAATTAGGTAGGTATATAACATAAATTACGTTTACCATAATTAATCAAAACGTATAATGCATATAGTTCACGTTATACTAAATATGATGCCAAAAATATTTCAAACTATTATAAAACTAACTGCCATTTAGTAAAACCAAAAATTTAAGAATTCAGCTGAAAAATGAAAAACAATGAAACGTCTACAGACACAATAACTAAAAATATAAATAATTAGAATGTAAAAAATTGTTATTATTTATAACTGTTTAAAGTTCGTTTATAACTTTAAAAGTTTTACAAACAAATGCGTTTAATAAAATAATTGAAAAAATAAAATGTTAAGACACATTTAATATTTTAAATGCTCACATTATCCAATTTTAATTGGGTGGGCTTACTGCAGTAAGTATACGTAATTTATTCGACCATCGATTTACCAATGAACGTAAAATAATATTGAGACATTAAGAGTGTGATTTAATATTACCGTTTCATAATTTTAGATGAACAGTTTATTTTTGTTTTACTGTTGTTTCCCAGATTTCCACCCCACACATAAACTTCCACCCCTTGGAGTCTCGGTTTATTTTTAATATCTTTTTTGTAGGTAGGCTATTAGTACATAAACAATTTTTTTTTTTAATGAAAAATGTATATCAATTACGTTTGATGTCTGAACTAGTGTATATTACGTATAAATGTGCGCATGTGTGTGTGTAAACGCGATATGGGGCGCTGAAATAGGGTCCACGAGACTCCATTAAACGGCCGGTTTGGTTTTTTTTGGTTTTGACAAAAATTTATAGCCTCGCGGTAGGTAAGACCTTTTAAGGCCTGACCGCGTAATGCCAGTGACAGATTTATGAATCGTATATGTTTCATTTACTCCAGAAATATAATAACAACAATAAACGGTTACTAGGCGAATAAAACATACCTTGCATGACGTGATATACGGTGTGTTTGTGTTACGCTTACCTGAAAGAGATGGTACCACCCTTTTGCTGCCCGATACCACGACCCGCTTGATGCATATTATATGTGGATTGTGGACACAATCGATGCATTAAAAAGTCTCGCCTATTTATGGTAACCATGTATTTGATTTTTAGAATGTTATATACCTAATTCGTATGATAGCACAATACAACACCACGACGTATGAAGTAATGATGATAATAACAATTCATTAAAATATACATACTATTATGTTTTGGTCATAATATCTGCAAAGAAGCATATAGTATATAATGCAACATTAAAATAATGAATACAGTAGAACTCCGATTATCCGGACTAATTAATGTCAAGGGTGGTTCGGATAAATAAATATCCGGATGATTGACGTATGGTACATCAAAAGTTATATAATTGTATGAATATATTGTATGTATGTATTTATTATTCATATATTATATTTAATATAATTTAGAATTCGTAACCATAGACAAATAATTTTATTATATATTTAACTGAAGCAAAATAAGCCTTAATTACTGGTGTTCGATCCTTCTTGCCTCTCAAACCATTTAAACGCCAAATCCAATACATCAAAAGCTTCAGAATTTTTAATGTCCCTCCGTCGGAATGACGGATATTATTAAGAATAATATATACCTATTCTTTATTTAATCTAAAATCGATTATGAGACACGTGTATGAATAACAAAAAGTGCCGTTTTTTTTCTAGTCCGGTTAATTGGACGTCCGGATGATTGGCGTTCGGATAATCGAAGTTCTACTGTACATTTATATTATCAAACCAAATCGAACAATTTGCTGTAGCCAAAAACTGCAACCGTATAAAATCATTTGAAAGGTTTAGGAATTAGGGGTAACATATACATATTACACGTTATTATAGTCATCAGTGTTGCGGAAAATGTTCATATAGGTACCTACTTCTTGAAATAACTTGAAATTTATAAACCTAACCCGACATTAAGGACTGTACTAAAACAACAAAGGTATTTACCGCAACCCTTGTATATAGTAATTATACAGTATAGGCCAACAATAATGTATATTTAAACACATTTTAAATAATGAGAAACATAATGTTACGTTGTGTTCAGATATAATCTACATTTTTTTTATAACACAATGTCACGAATACGAAATTGTCCTTCAGTGATGAATATTATTTCGCTGTCATTTTGTATCCATTATGTTTTTAACAATATATTCCAATCAAAAGCAATAAAATAGTACTTTAAATTATATCAAAAAATAATTCCAACAAAATTCTAATACTGAATTTGGCTATCGAATAGATAAAATAATTATTTAATGTATTTTTTTCTCCAATTATTTATGAATATTCTATTTATACATACCATTGTTCACCCATCAAAAATATAATATATATCCGAATAAATTGAATTAAAAATTTTAGCTTACATATTATATTGGTTACTGATGGCGTGTTTATATGACTTTATATTATTCTACTTTAAATACCGATATTAACTTTTATATGGATTTTGAACAACTGCACCTATGTCCCTGTTTGTGTACATGATCACGTAATAGATAGTGTCAGATAATCATCTTTAATCACTTGTAATAATATCAATTATCAATATATCCCCAATGCCATAAATATAATATTGTAATCAAAACCGACACGAACAGACAAGCATCATACATAATATATAAAATAACAATATTAAAATATTCTGCAAATGTGTATTTCGTGATCAATGCGTGTACAAATGAACGTTATCATTATCATAATAACGAAAACCAAAATTTAACAATAACTAATAACAAATATTTAAATTAATAGAAACGCTTTTTTCACAAAAGGCTTTTAAAACACACTTGTTGGCATCAAAAACACTAAATAATTTGTTTTATTTTACAATATTTTTACACTAGATATTATTCTATTTTGTATACATATACTTTATATCTATATTTTAATTGTTTTTAATTTCTTTGTTAATTTCAAACATTGTATTACACGATTCATACATTCATCATGTAAAAAACAATAAACAATAAACCAATGTTAAAATATTATACCTACTACAATATACTCATAAAAATGTGATCGAATTTGATGTATTATGTTCATACGAAAATGCTGAGCTTTATAAGAAACAATTGTAGGTATATTACTAATCTAAGTATATACAATTTTGTTTTTTGAATTTAAAATTTTGCAAAACTTTATAACTCAATATACATACATTTTCCACAAAACCGTACAAAATTATCTTTTTTTTAATATAAATAATAAACATTGTTAAAAAAATTTTAATCTAAAATACTTTTAACTTTCCATTATTCTGATGTTTTATGATTACTAAAATAATTTGTATATGATTCAAACAAAAATATGGTAAACAAGCAATCTTTCAAAATAACTTCGAATAAAACAAAAATATGTCGCTCCACATTGTTTTTCTTGCTCAGAGCAAGAAGCAAACATGGAGTAGGTAAAAAGGGTTCGTGTTAAAACGGTTTTTTTTATGATTTTTGAGTTATCTTAAAGTAAAGTCTATAGTCACCTATTTCAAAAATAATCAAGCCTTTCCCTATTCATCCCTACCAATTTCAACATTAAAATAAAATGGATATTAAATTCTTTAAAAATTGAATGACATACCTAGTACGTATCTCCCTAAAAAATGTTGTTTTCTATATTTTATTTTTATTTTATTTTTAAGCTTTTTTTAATTACATTAAGATTACTCAAAAACAGAAAAAATGATTATAGTTGAATACGTTTTGTCCATGTTGCACTTAAGACAGAGAGAAATTGAAAACAGTCTGCTGACATTCTCTTAAATACCATGATTACTTACTAATCATAATCTCTTGGTCACTGACCAACAAATAAAAAAATAATTTTTCATTTTGGAAAAAATATAACTCCACATGGCATAACTCATATTTATAAAAATTTAATAATATGCATAGGTATTATATAAAAAAAACATTTTTAAAAATAATTACTTTTATAGACGTTTTGTAAAAACATCAAACGTAGATATATTAAATAAATGTATATCATTGATTTATAAATATAAATATGAACGACGCATTAGAAAACATTTTTAACTGTCACAATAATTAGTTCGTTCTATCATTTTACGTAATTTATTTTTACAACATCATTTTAATGACAAAAATTTGGTATTTAGTGACAGAGTGGTGCGAGGTCTATAGAAAAGGGTGCTTAAAGTAAAATGGCTTTAGGCGGTGCAGAATAAATTCACTCCTGGAATAAATATTTAAATAAGCATAATTTTATTATTACTTTTCTCGCACAGTGACGTAGCTGTTATTACCAAAATAATAAATCTACCTTTAACGCTAATTTTTAATATTTATTGAAGTAATTCTGAAAATTATTTCATCCCAATATCATTGTTAAAATCGAATAAATATTTATAGTCTATTTCCCATCTCATGTTGTTTTGCCTTATCTTTCCTTACCTTACATCATTTTATCTTTTTTTCTTTAAATACCTATAGTTATAACAAATATTTATTATTAGACATATTTTTATCTATTTGTATCACGACTTATATTTTTTTTTCAATATCTTAAGGTTTTTTCAAAAGCAAGAGTGCAGTTCAGCGTGGGAGGACTACACTATCAAGGACGATCAGTCTGGTATACGTACATGCCGGATACGGTGTTGGAAAATGCCAGAGATGTTGACATACAGTTACATAATCACGTTGGCAAGTACGTGAAAATCCAACTTTACTTCTACAGCAAATGGATAATGATCAGCGAAGTGAAGTTTGATTCCGGTAAGAACTACATAAATCATAATTCATTTTTATATAATAAAGCACTGAACTCCGTGACAACATACTTAAGCATACCGTACACATAGTGCATGCTTTTACGCTAATTTCTCTTAAATAAGACTCATAATATTTCTCTACGCGTCTCGTTATGGTAAAATAATATTACCTATGGTAGCACGGAGCCTTGAATAGGCAATTTAGCTACACCACGGTCGTATGCATATCCCCCGGTATTTGTGGTATTTTCTTAACCAGCCCGCTCCGACAAAATTACTGTATAATTAACTGCATTTTAATAACAAGCATGTTATTTTCGTCCTAAACCCCCTCCCCCCCTAAACCCCTAAATCAACGTTTGTAGTTTAAGTTGCCAATTGCATTATTGCATATAGGTGGTATTGGTATTGGTATTAGTAGTATTCGACTAGCTGTTTATTTATATATACAGGCATTTTTGAAAATATTTTGTCGTATGATGAATGATATTTTAATAATATAGGTGTACATATACGCACATCTTGTTTCGAAAATAGTATCCTGCAATAGTGCGTATCACGTTATTCGTTTTTCGTGTGTGTCTAAAATCGCACAAATCGTACGCAACCAAACATTTTGTTAAACTTGGTCATAACTCTAAACTCATAGCCTTGGTAGTATTAACATTTAACACTTCGGCCATTATTTCCTGAATTTTTAAATGAACAATATATTGTGGAGTACTTTTCGGAAAAATACTTATGAACAAATTTCGTATACATAATGGTTTTTTTAAAAATTATTATTAGTTATTACTTATTACTAAGCGTTAAAGGTTTAAATGAGAAGAGTGGTGCAATACAAATTGCGTAGGATTTTCCTTGCCGCTAGCTTCTTTTGTATAAAATAAATGAATACTTTTCATAATAAAGAGTTTTTAATTTTGAAACAATCGACCTGTAATTGTATGGACGCATTCACAGTGCGTAAACGGTATAATATATGAATGACAATTAGAACTTTAACCATGTATAACACATGTAAATCAAACCCAGACACAACTGCATATGGCGTTAATATACCATCAAATAGAGTCCAATACAATATTATCATTACATTCTTAACAGCGCTTGACAGATAACTGGCATCTGCAGGTTGGCGTCTTTAAATAACGTCGTGAACGCTGGCACCGAACCGTCATCACACGTGCAAGGTTTACAAATGGAGAATTTAGTTATTTAAAATAACTAAATTCCGTTTCCAATCAGGATTTGGATAATAAATTAGAATACATTTTTGATCGTTGAGATTAAGTTTTAGGTCTTTAAAAAGTTTTGAATTTAGGAACTGGTTAAAACTGGTATTTTAACATATTGTTTTAAAACCAAAAACTTCAAAAATCTAAACCGACATTTTTTAAACACAAAACCTAATACCTGATTACATTTTTCATTTTAAATTCAAACTTAAAGTTTACCAGAATACATTTTTTAATATACCTAACTTATACCTAAATTATCTTTTAAAATAATAATCTCTCAAACACATGAATTGTTAATTATTAATACATAATGCTTATTATAATGTACGGTCGTAATAAATAAATACAGATGCACAATGCATAATTATAATTTAATGTAATATAATGGCGCAAAACATTGACAAATCTTTTCGTATTCCAGTATGTAGTGCTAAAGTACCTACTCTGAACAATAGTGAAATATTTATAATATATCATGTAAGACATTAATTTAAAAACCAACAATGGCGAGTATAATCGCTTAACAATGTAGGTGTATTATAATAATAATATTTTATACTCCCAATTCTAGGGTGAAAGATTTTTTTTTTTTAAGCCCTTTACAGGCGCTTACAAATACACGGGTTTGCTTGAAACATCGATTTATTTTTCACTCGAATAATTCGTTATTAAAAATGTAGGACTTCAAACCGACAATAATTTTTACAGAAAAACCCCTTCGAAGTTCCATCCATACACTACATTTATATTGCACAAATGGTGTATTGCCGGCGGCAAAGCTTATAATCATAAAATTTATTACGTCGTTTATCAACGTATAAAAAGTTTCATTCTGCGTGCCATATTCGAACCACGCCGGCCAAAAGAGGAGTTTTCTTGAAATATAAGACAATAATATGCAACTTCCACTGGACTTCTTGTACACACTATCAATAAAAAGTACAAACTGCACGAATAATAACAAAGATGCGTATGCAACGCGAATCTCAATATTAACAAAGTAAAATCGACAGCCGTATTAATTTTAAACATTCTATAATTTATGTATTATCGAGTAAACACACTTAAAGTAACAAAGAACGTTATAATAAATTTAATGTAATCATCGTTTTATTATTAAAAAATAAAACCTTTGTGCAACAAAGATTCGTTCTGTGTACAATATTCATACGTAAATATTTGCCCTGAAATTTAATATCCATTCATTCGAACGTATAATAACGTCATAATATAGACATTAAGTGTACACATAATATAATCAAATACTCGCATTTATTTTTGTGTTATTCATGGATACATCGGAGTAGTGAGGGTATTTGTTTTCTATTTTTATAAATTATGACAACTGCAGTTATTAACGTCAAATGTATCGGTCAAAACGATCAATGACCCATCAAATAAATACAATTGTTATTGCACATCAGAATATAGCATCCAAGCGTGACACTCATCGATAAATATTATACGTAACGGTTTTTAATAATGATTTCAATTGTTCAATCAAGCCGACCGCAGTGAATGTTATCACATCCATTTACACGAAACGTTATAGAAATGAAAATAGGCTGAGAGATAAAAACATTAATTATTGACGTATTATAATATTATCAACGATAATCACACGAGTTTTGATAAAAATAAAAAATATACCATTTTTCTCTAGACTTTTCTGGAACACAAACGACCAAAGTCGCCACTAAATATGACTATAACGGTATACTTTATTATATATTTCACGAGCAGCATATACATAATACAACCAGCAGCAGCTGCAGCGGTAATGGTTAACAGTCACAATATTCCGAAACCTTGACAGCTGAGAGACTTCACGCGCGCGCGACACACAGAGGCGCAGCGGGCGAGTTTAAGTCTTCCGTCTCCGACGGGGCAGGCACGACGCTCGCATTTAGGTTTAAGCGGTTTCATAAAATACATATATTATATTACACAATAATAATACATGTACGTTATATATGCACGCCGCCACCGCAGTTTCGAAAAAGTTTGCGATTTTTTTTTTTCTTTTATTATCATTTTGTCTTTCTCTCAGCGCACATCCGTCCCACCCGGCGCCGACTCGCGCACGCACACGCAATACGTACGAAAGCTGAATCATTTATTCGACCGCTGAGTACCGTACACAAACATAATATACACATACCATACATATGTGTGTGTGTGTGTGTGTGTGTGTGTGTGTGTGTGGGTGTATAAGTTATGACCGAGTACCGGGTATACCTCTCTCGTTCTTTATAAGCGGGTTATTTATGGGGCGGGGATTATGCGAAAGTATATATAGGAACTCGTCTTATGAAGCTATTTATTTCCGGCACAGCGGACTCGGTTTTATTTAAATGCAGGCTCCCCGCAACCCCCAACATCATCCATACTGTCGCAGTTCACCCCTAAAGACCGCAAAAAACCGCGAGCGACGACTTTGTAGCGGGCAGCGAATGTGTATGATGTGAGAGCGTGTTATAGGTAATAGGTGCGCAATTTGTATTATTTACATCAATAATAGCGTCATAATGTTAATTTCCACTGACGGACGGACCAACGTAGAGACGAGGAATGCACGGAATGAGTGTGAGCTCAGGTATTTTAAAATAGTAACTGTAGGGAAACTAAGAGAAAAAATGACTAAACCGCGCGTCGAGTAACTTCATAATTTTGGGATTTTGGAATTCAGTATTTGTTTTCATTATTTTAATCATTATAACTACTTGACGCGAGCATAACATTTTTAACTCTGGCAGACCGTCATGGAACATCTACAAAAAAAAATGTAATAATTTAATTATCTAACCACGACGTACTAAAAAAAAAAACTCGATAGACGTCATTATTAGTTGACTGTTTTTGCATATAATTTACTGTTTATTAAAAGTTAATTACTTTTTCGTCGAAGTTTTTTTTTTTTAATTTCATTTTTTTGCACTACAGCCTCTCTTGAACAGCCTCAATTTAATACAATCACCGACAATTTAATACACAGCCCCGACAATATAGAGAGCTGTTGTTGTTCGTAAACCATTTCAGTAATTATATAATTGTAGTATAATACACAATGCAAACTAAATCACACGCACCATGCGCTCTAACGCGTACTAATTTCTCGACGACTGCATAATATGGTTTTTGTTCATCACGCGTACGATACAATTCACAATATATTCAGCAACGAGTGTCAATATTTTTTTTCATTCAAATCATTTGTCGACAAATCCGCTACCGTCGTACGTATATACACACAAAGGCAGGTCGTGTGCATGTAATTTATTACCTTATGTATATATTATTTGATATGATGGAGAGAGAGATAGAAGAAGAAACGGAGGATGCCGTCCCCGGGATGGTACGCAATGATTTACAGAGTGTCCGTCGCGTTTACTCGCACGCATAAATCGCCACAAATCGCATTCTCGTTTCGGATTGAATATTGTACGAGTTTTTTGTGGAATTTATTTCTCAGCTCTCGGTTTTTTTTTATTTATTTATTTTTTTTTTTGTGCAGAACCGTTGGCTCAGAACGTGACGGTGGACGCGGACGCGCCGTTCGAGGACGAGCAGCTAGTCGGAGGAGCGGTGGATCCGCCTTGGGACTCTCCCGACACCAGTAAGTGTTTTTAATATATTCATGTGGCCGTTGTTGTTTTTATTTTTTTTTTATTATTCGATTTACCTTAGGTGGGGTGGTAAAGTAACGGTAGAAGTGGATTGGGTGGCATCATTTATTAATGAGGCACGATCCCAGGAGGGACGACTGACTCCATATTTAGACTAGGAAAACAGCTATGAAGTACATATATATATTATATATGAGAATACCTGCTGTAGAACGGCCGTCGTTATATTATATCGTTTTTTTTTTATTCATTTTTCCCACTATACCCTTAAAAGCACACCACCCGTCTTACGCCTTATTCGGTGAGAGCAAGAGGTTCCTATACCACTATCCTACTCTTTCTTCCACAAGAGGTCTGTTATTTTGATCTAGACAAGTACGATAATTTGGCAAAAGTCTGTAGAACAGCAACAGGAACGGATATCCGTTTTAGGATGGGGATCGTGCATTAACCATGTCTATGAGATGAACAGACCATCAAGTATCAGTACTGTAGGATAGTCGAATTACACTTGAGTAAGTCTAACTGCATTTGGGTCTGAAAACGCAGGATTTTTTATTCAGTTTGTTACTTAATACAAATATTTACTTAAAAATAATTGTAAGTCCTTAACTCCTTAGTATACGAATACGTTGCAAGATAATCGTGTGTAAACGAAATAACTTAAAAATAAAAATGAAGGTTCTCATTTGCACTTTTGACAATGTTGTATACATGTTAGTTTTCGACTGACCGATCTGAGTGCAATCAGAACAGAACTTTTTTCAAACACGAATGCAATTTGAACATAACCTTTTTAACCAGAGTGCAATTGGACTAAAAAAAGTTCACTCCTACACCTTTTCCCAGGCTAGCGAGATACCATTTACGGGGGGTTCCATTTTAGACGGGAAATCCCGCAGGGATGGTCTATTCGTATGGCATCCCCTGGGGAGATACATTCCCTGCATCCATAAGGGATGAACACTATTTTTCTTACTTCGGGAAAATGCAATAAATACCTATAAGCGTGTAAATCTCGTGCAAAAAACATTGTACACTAAGTAATACACGTCCATGTTAACAGCTGCACACAAGGAAAAGGATGACAGGACCGGTGGAGGGCTGGTGGAAGTGCTCATCGGCGTGCTGACGGCAGCCACACTCATCTTGCTTGGAATTTGCGCCATTGTGTTAGCTCTGAGCCGCCGTAAGAAGCATCAGACAATCAGCACATCAATATTCAAAAAGCCGTTTGGCGTGGCCATCAACATGAAGGACATATTCATGAACCTGTCACCGCACAACAACAACACTACCGGCGTTAGTAACAATAACAACAACAACCATAACCACGGTTCGGGTATCGGAGGTGGCAATCGGCACATCACCGAAAACCCGTTGGTGGTTGGTGAACAGATGCGCAGCGACAGTTTCGCGTCGGATGCTTACGACAAATCACAACACGTTGTTTACGAAACGCCACTATTAGCACGCAAAGACTACGAGACGATTCGCAGTAGCAAAGGTATATAGCGATAGTATAAAAACATTAAACATATTATTATACGCCTTACTCATCGAGAAGTTGGCTCATTTTCTTGGTCAATCTCTCAACAATATTGTAATTTTGTTAAAAACCGCTTCCTGTCACCACGACAAAAAGGAAGAAAAAATATTTTGCCCAAATATAGAGTCATAATTCTAAAGAACTTTGAACTATGCCTACATAAAATCGTAGGAATTGAAAAAATCGCCTCTCATAATAAAAATATAGCATTCACAACATCTGAGATCTGAACAATTGTTTTGCATCCCTCGCAATGTTTACCTCCGTTTTACCGACTAAAAAAAAAAATAAGCTGCTGTTAACTATTTCCGTAGCATCCGATTATTGTGTGCGGCGTCTTTTCCCCCTAAAACTATATGAGAACAATACAGTTCGCTAAGCAGCGACTGCAGTGTATAATAATTAATCACATATACGATCTTAAAACATCACACGTCCTTATTATTTTATATATAATATTTAACATCAAAACAATATTTCAAATATATACACATACACTAATACGCGTACCTGTTACTGCGGGGTAAAACTTTTGAATTAAACAAAGCCATTCGTGTTTTGGAAACAATATAATAATGAATTCTCCCGGTGTACATCTCTCTCTCGTTCGTTTGTTCTGTGTAGGTAAATCGACAGCGAAATAAAGTGTAAAACTACTGTAATATATGTACAAACTATTGTATCGTGCTATTGAATACGATTATTATCGGTACGTGGGACAAACAGATTTGAATCAGAACACAACAAAAATCTGATCGGGTTGAGACCAATCGTGGGTATTCGGAATGGTTCGTCACGCGTAAAGACAGAGAGAGCAAATTTATTTTCATAGATCTGCGGGAGGACGGAATACAATTTCAAACATAAGATATTATTAAACCGTTAAAAATAACAAATATTAAACAAACCCGACTTAATTCATTTTAAGAACCTCGTAAGACCCTCCCGCCGCCCCTCCGCGTGAACGAATACAAATATCATGTTGTTGGACAAAAATATCTAGTGGAAATGTGATAAACAACTTTGGGAGAACTCGTTTACTGCAAGTGGTGCTAGTGGTAAAAAAAACTTGGGTAATACAGGTACCTAAAGTAACTATGCCTAACTAACTATCGGTTGCAGACGCGAGGAGCACGATTTCCGCAAAGGAGTTTTGTCGCAGCGACTCAGAACGCGGATCGCTGAGCAGCCTGGAGATCGACGTCCGGCCCGCCGAATATTCAACAAGGGACAGCGTCACTTCGTTGCACTACCGGAGCCTGCAGAGTCAACCGCCGCCGCCGCCGGTGCCGGTTCAGGTTGACGCCCCGGTTCGGCCCAAACACCTCCAGTGCAACACCACCGACGTACCGGCCACCAGAAAAAGATTTCACACGGCACCCCGTGAAAAACACAGAGTAAGTGTAAACTTTGCCCACCCGGACCATTACCGTAGTGTATAAGTCATGCGCAGCTTTTGTTGGCTGTCTGTTAAACTCGTCTGCCGATGGTCAACGGTTGCGGTTCAAATGTATTTTTGAAATTCAGCAAAGTTCGTATTTCGTTATTGTTCCATTCCATATCATATTTGTTCAGTAATCGTGCCGCCGTTTCGGAGACAATTATAAAATGTTATATAATATATAGTATGCTTCGGTACGACTATACGACATTAGATTTTTAAAAAAAAAGGTTAAACATTAGTAATTATAGTTGATTGAACTCCCATGATTTAATATTAATGTATAATAGTAAACCTTAAGCAATAAGCATATATACACGACAAAGAAAAACATCGATATTATATAGGTACCTATATATACCTATTACCTAGTCTATAGTCTATACATTCATTAATATTTTATTATTATGAAATAATACATAAAGTTATATTATTCGTAGAAGACATCTCCATTCAATATTAATGGAACAAATTATGTTTCTAGTAATAGATGCCTACCTATTTTATTATCGCAAGAGCGGATTTAAATCAAACCACTATAAAGCAATAAAGACGTAATTTATGGGATGTAATTTTAATCTATATTATTTTTCTACAGACAATTCCTCGAACAATCTAATAACATTAAGCTTCCACAAATTATTACCTTTCGGTATTTAATACTGTTTAGTGCTTACCAATAGGAATTTACCATTTTTAAATGATTTATATTTTATACTACAGAGCTAATTGTATGGTGAAACAATTTTTATTTTTATAGAAAAAAATAATAAGATAAATATTACTATTCAACTGTTTAGAACTTATTTTACATTTATCTTAATGATTTATATTCAATATAATATATGTACAAATTACAACGATGAGATTTATTTATTCTGGTATTATGCGTACAGCATTATACAACATAGCAGGAGTTGTATACATTGTGTAATAACAATTATATTATTCCGTACATCAAGTTATATAAAGGGTTGTACAGGGATTAATAATATTGTGGAACAGCTAACATAGATAGGAAGGTATTTCATTGAACTCTTGATCATAATATCGTACATGATGTTTGTTGTATTGCCCATATGAAATTAAAGAAAAGTACCAGTTGTTCCTAGGCAGCACACATATTTTTTATTTTTATTTTTTTCAAGGCTTGCCCTACCCCCACCCACACCCGTAAATAAATTACAATGTAATATAAAAATTATGATATAATGTATATTGTATATAGTTTAAAATAAATAAATAAATGTCTTTAATATAGAAACTGATTTTAAAGCCAAATTTTAATTCACACTCTGCCACTAAAATATAATGAATAAATTATAGTAAGTTGAATGAAGCCAATGAAAGTTCAGTGTTTACTAGCTCGACCATCACCACTGCAAACTATAAAGTATAATAGTTAATCCCTTTATCGTTTTATACGTATTACACATAGGCACGTAAAATGATTTGCGTCGGTATTGGTTATAAATTATAATTCTTTATCGCGTGGATAAAGTAATTATTACGCACAAAACATATTATAATACCAATATACCTTATGATTTTTGTGCAGTCATAAAATGTTTATAGAATGAGTTGGACTGTATACATATACGTAATACGAGATTATTCGCATTATACACCTATATTATATACCTGTAAGAATTATATTTGTGATATATGTATATTATATACTCGTTTTATAGTTAGTTATTGTTATTTAAATCAAATACAATTATGATGTTCGGTATTTTCCGAAATTTTTATCTCAGTATTAATTTATACAAGCAATCAGTAACCATAATTTATTAAATATTAATATACAAATACGGTTTAGTGTACCGCGGTTTATATTTTACATGTTATATACCTAACATGAAATTATAATATTATTATTTATACGGGCAAAACGAAGTTGAAATATTTTTTTAATCTATATATGTGTATATGAGCTAAAATAAGTTAATTGGTTTGTGATAAGACACTACAGTATTAACTTCCCATGAATACAATTCGAAAGAATATGAAAATAATATTTTTATTTTATTTAAGTCAAGGTGTCGTGCACCCCGCTGGTCTTGCATAATATTAGAAGTTTTATCTTTGTCATTAGAAATCCATGTGTCGTTAATATTGTCATTACCTATAAGTGTGTCCGAATCGCATAATCCATTTAATATTGTTTTTTCTTTCCTACCTATTTAAATTAGGATTTGGCCATTCGCAAGTGCACATACTTAGATTTGAAATCCTATCTAGGTATCTAATCTCCTATACACTCTACTCTATGATATAACCTATACCAAACGGACATTTTCAGATGGCGCCCCCTTCGGTTTCGTGGAACATTAGTCCCAGCATGGGCCAGGTGTACAAGTGCCGGGAAGCGGACATTGTGCAGATACCGCGGTACTGTTTGAACGTGGTCAGCAAACTGGGAGCCTCACACCTTGGAGAGGTGGCCGTGTGCGAGACGACAATGGACGTCCGCTTGACGGATAACGGACGCGTGGCGGCCAAAACTTGCAACTCCGACTCGACCAGGGAAGTCAAGTTCTTATGCAGCCTGCTCGATCCGAACCTGGTGCGTGTGTTTGGGGTGTGTGCCAACGAGTCGCCACCGTGGTTGATCACTGAATACCCGGCAGAGCTTGGAGACCTGGTCATAGTGTTGAGGACGCACTCTGCGCTAACGTAAGTCGATGACCTTCCATGTAGTTACTATTTATAGGTTATATAGGTCATATATCATAATAAGTAGAAATTAACATACAAGGTTTTGGAAAATGTACCAATTTTTTTTTAAATGTATTGTTTACTATATTTTAAAATTTTAATAATAATTCAAAATGTAAAATACATAAAATATCTCGATAGACATCTAGGTATATTAGGTAAGTACATAATAAATTTGAATAAAATTTGACTAAAGAAATAAATAGATAATGTTTATCTTATAATATTAATTTGACAGAATTATATAGTTAGTTTAATAAATCAATTTTCGTCATTTTAAACCACGTTTCTAATGCGTTTTCTAAAACGTTTTAATCTAACTTTAAGTCCTAAAGCGCCATTAGTTCAAAATTTGAATTTATCTTGCATTACAGTTGTTTCGTGTTTGTCAAGTTCTTGAAAATAATATTAAACATATTACTCATTGGAACATATCAAGTGGAAACCTTACACAAATATTTTATGATTTATTAGTGGACAATTTTTGTAATTTTTGAATTAGCATTTTCATAACACTTCAAAGTCAAAACTAATCAGTAGTGCAAAAAAAAATTCATTGGACCTATTTTATAAACATATTCCAAAGTTCTCGATCCTATAATATGTATATTTAGGCTAATAAACTTTTGTATTTGAAACCTTAAATTAATAAAAAAAAAAAATGTATATTGTATATCCATACGACTATTTTATTGGTATAGGTACTAATTATAAGTAGTATACAATGTAGATTGTGGAACATAAATAATTAAAGTTTAAACATGCATCTGAGACAAAACCCTTTTAAAAAAAGCCTTTAATTATTCTTTAATGTTGTAATATTATCAATTATTAGTTATAATATATTCTTCAAAAACAGTTTAATTTTGTCTCCGTCTATAATATATATAAAAAAAAATACGGACAATTAAAAAAATGATTAATTTTTGGCATCTTATAAAATCCCACTGCTCCGAGCGATTTTTGTAAAATGGCAATTATTTTTAAATTTAAACTTCATTTCGTTGTGGGGACTTAAAATTTTTCAAACCCTTCATTTTCCTCAACTATACACATAATGGCTTTTTCTCCTCAAAATCGCCTAAAAAACTGTTCCTCCGTGGCTTGCCCCCGTACAACAGTGAAAATGCATCACATTTTCTATTTCATTTCCATCAAAAAATTCGTCTGGTGTTTAAATTTTAAAAAAAAATTTAAATCGCAAAAGTTTAACATATTTTTTTATTGCTGAAACCTTATTGATAACGTCTACTAACTTATTAAAATTATGCCAAAAGTAATACTATACTATACAAATATATACCACTACCTTATATGATAAATTGATGTCTAAAATACAGTGTTTCATACTTACTACAACTTATTATTAGTATCACAATATTAATTTTATTTTTTTAAACTCAATATAATTTAGAGTTTTCAAAAGAAGTTTAACTTTTATAAATTAGGAAATAGTCATAATATGTGTGCGTAAAATGTTGCGAATTTCCTAATATTTAAATACACAAAATAACTCTCAATTGGTACCAACCTATTATAATTGATAGAATCAGATTATACGTTTATACTGGTATGTTCTTTAATGTGTCCAATGACTAATGAGTTGAGTGGTAAATTCACCAAATGCCCAGCAACATCGTAACTAACGAACACGGATATTTATAAAATGGCATCTTCGACGATTTCTATAATTCAAATATCGAAATATCCCATTAAGACACATTTTTCCCTAAAATACATCATCAATCATGGTTACTCGAAGGTAAAAAAAAAAATAAAAATCGGTAACCATTGGGTGGTTAAAAACTTTACTAACCAATATAAACAATTGTATTCTTGACATAATTTTAAGTAAAAAATAAATTATCACGTTCTAAAGTGTGCTTATTGCTGTAGGTATACGACGCTTATGTTCATGGCCACTCAAATCGCATCGGCCATGAAGTATCTGGAATCTAAGAACGTGGTGCACAAAGATTTGGCGGCCAGGTAAGCTAAAGTCGTTTTTCCAAACCCTCCTAAAATATGGTTATCATGCTTAAAATTATACACGATGTTGATGTTTTGTACAACTACATGACTGCAATCTGTTTAATGTATATTATTTTTTTCGCCCGGAAACAGAAACTGTCTGGTTTCAAGAGGCTATTCGATCAAAGTGGCCGACGTGGCGGTGTGCAATCCGGCTTACAAAAAGGACTATAGCGAAATCGGAAACAGACCTCCGGCACCAATTCGGTGGCTTCCGTGGGAAAGCATACTACTGGTAATATTATAATATATTTTATGATAGATAAAAATAATTAATCGGTATTATAATTGTGCATAGAACATAAACATGCGTTATAAATGATGATATAATTCGTTTCTCATCTCTTAACGCCCACCAACACTATATTATAATATACCCGTGTCTAGCAATGCGGTTGTAAGAATAATTTTATACGTATGCTTTATTTATCTAAATAGGATCGATACACGTGTCCGAGCACAGTATGGTCATTCGCCGTAACAATGTGGGAACTGTTGAACATGGCCAGAGATAAACCATTCCCGCACCTCACCAACGAGCAGGTCATACACAACGCTGAGCAGATGTACTACGGAGGAGAGCTACAAGTGAGTCTAAGCTGGTGACTAAATACGTAGTAAATTGCACCATCAACACACAACACATTATTATTATATTATATACCATACATAAAATTACAAAAAGTGTATTACTTATACTGAAGAAAAAGATCTAAATAATGGTAAAACGGATGACACCTTTTATTATAGATTAAGTATAATGTATTAAAACTGCATGTCATTATAATAGTAATCATAAAATATACACAGTATACTGGCCGTATCTAAGGGAGGTCCAAGAGGTCCGGAAACCTCCCCCCAAAATTTCATCAATATTTAACAAATGTTTAAAATAGTTATTTATTTTCAATAGGTACCAACATAAATATTTTCCATCACAAATGGCTAAAATTCCAATTAAATTAATAATTGACTGTTTTGTATGATAATTAAAAATTATTATACCAAGCGTTTAATAAAAGATTGTTATTGATAGACTACAACCACTATCGATGCCATTCGGTGATAAATAACAAAAACAATATTAAATTTGTAAAAATTAAAATATAATAATATACTGATGTCCGCCAGATTGTGACAATATTAATCTCAACAATTTTTAAATCACCATAGCCCCATATTATACAAATCCATTATAATGAATCTATTATCCTTAGAATACAAAGTTAAATATCTCAAAAACTACTACAAATTTATTCTGATACGTCAACATTTTCAGAAAAATTATGCACTAAATAATTTACAATATAAAAAAGGGAGGTACTCGTTTGACGAATATCAGTTTGTATCTGTTTGGGTCCACAAGACGCTCCTTGTATTTAAGTATACTAACTACTATTATACAACAAATCTCAAGAATTTGAAAATATGGTATTAAAGTATATTTAAAAATTTTAAAAATCCTATCTTGAGTATAATAACTGCATTATTGAAGAAAAAAGGGGGCGAACATGCTAGGTGAATCATCCTGTACCTAAAATTTTTTTTATCCTATTTTTAACCAAATTTCAAAACCTAAATTCAGTATTATCTGAAATTTCAATGTACATGTTTTGGACTCCCTAAATATTTCTATATATTGCTTTGTGTACCTATTTCAGTAATTATCCTTTTCATATTATATATAGCGGAAGTGCAGACAAAATGTTCAGAAAGAAAAATTTTATAAATTATTTACCAGTAGTCCGTTTCAGTACTTTATCGAATTATCGAAATGTTTGGAATTTGAATAAACTCTCACTCGCTCATTCGGCAGTTCTCGTTTGTATTTTGGTACAGAAAATAACTGTATAAAACATTCTAATCCAATTTTAGTGTTGTATTTTCTATTTTATTATATAAGATTCGATTTATTACGAGGAGCATGTGAGAGTGTTCGTGGCACATTGGCGTATCGCCCTTCATTTATTTCGTTTAATATACCTTTATTATATTAGTCTGTGTTTTACGTGTTCGTGTTTCACCCGAAACTTCGAGGGCCGGAACTTGTCGTGTAGGAGGGGAGCTATACTGTTATAGCGATAACCAGCACAAACGTTCAGGGTTTTGAAAATAAAAAAATGTTTATATGTTGATTGTGTACAATGTTTAGTTTTTATCTATTATTATTATTCACCTACACGTTTACTGCATACCTAACCATACAAGCTACACCCAACTAAATATTTTTTTTAAACTAAAAAGGTTTCTGATGGGATTTAAAAGTTAAATAAAGTGACTAAAATGAGTGTGTTTAAATTTTAAAACAATGATTAATCATTTCGTTTGAAAATGATTCTGAACAGAGCTTGGCTTACCGTAGTTAATTTAATATATTATAATAATATTAAATAATGACAAGCGTTGCCATGGATTAAAATGTCAAGTCTTAATCATACTCCAAACTATAAATTTTATTAGATAAGTCCAATAATCAGAAATATTTCGTTAGAAAAGTAAATCTCTAATATATATATATATATTATTAAATTGATTAAAAATAATAAATATTACTCAATTAATTAACATTTTATAGTATTATGTTCATATTGTAGGAAAATGTATGACTGCCAAAGTTATTATGTTTTGTATACCTAGTTTTCGAGACTCGTCAGTTATAATTGTTATAATAAATTAGTAATAAATCCGTCACACTAATTGCTTGTATTAAATACTTGTTTAAGAAACTGCAGCTATGGTGTTAAATATTTGTTTTTGCTTTTCAATAGTATTATAGAGTTATGATAACACGTCGTTTTTAATAATCAATGTTGGCACATCACTGTCGTGCCGGCTCGGTCAGGTTTTTCTGATTTACTTTATAACTGAATAAATAATACTACTGTATAATATAAATATATTATAATCAATAATCATTTTACCTAACTATTTACTACACTGCAATGAAATAATAAAGTACCCACAGTACGCAGTGCGATATAATATAATTGAATATAAATTATTTTCCGATGGTTAAATCATTATCATCGAATAACTTGTGTTTCCAGGTACTTCTACCCAAACCTAACCTGTGCCCCACCGAGATTTACGAGCTCATGTGCCAATGCTGGAAGCGCGATCAAAACCTTAGGCCCACGTTCAAACAACTTTACCATTTCCTGAAACGCAATCACACAACGTACTCGTGCGAAATTGACAAGCAACTGCACAACATTTCACCGATTTAATAAGTTGTATTATTAGATTATAATGTAAACCATAATAATATATTATTTATTATTATTATTATTATTATTATTATTATTATTGTTTGTAATCATTTGTAATATTTGTATAGGAATATTAGTGTATTGCATTCGTATTATGTATACATGTGTATATGTAAATTGTATATTATTATGTGTATGAAGAATGTACATTTTCTTGTTGAACCTATTTTCTTTACCCGCTCTGTTCAAAAATATTCTCTCGATCTGTAGCATTCAACGACATAGATTATTATGATACCTACATAGGTTAACCGTATATAAAGTGAGAACAGGGTTTTGCTTCGTCTACTACTTTGTGATAAAAACTTTTTTGAAAAATCACATTTTTTTTTCTAACTCCACAACCGGCTGAGACCGCCGGACAAACGCTTCGTGACAATTTATTTCCATAAACTATTTCATATCGTGTATTTTTCTAATTCGTGTATACTTTTATATAAATAAATATATATACCTATATAATGTAATTAATATTAATATTATGTTGTATAATCGAAAACGTTGTTAGCTAGACAATCAATGTGGTAGGGTATGTAATATATTAAATATATATATTATGTTGGAATGGGTTGTAATTTCGATATCATCTTTGTAATATATTACATTAAAAACGTTTTATTATAATAGGCCTAATTACTTCGATAGGGTCTTACTATTTAGGCTTAATATTAATTATGTAACAATAAACTGTATTATATAGTAATAAATAATGATTAGTATTATAATATATTATACATAGTATATTATACATAGTATATTAATACATAAGATCGGCTTATGACGTGCAATAATGAGCATTATATACACTATTGTTTAGTTAATATTAAATATTATAATGTTCTTTTTTTTAATTCGTTAGTTAATGTGATTAAAACGACCTGTAAACATGTTTCTCTTTGGTTTTTTTTTTTATATTTTATAGTAAAAATATACATATATTATATTTTCGTTTAAATACATCTCTAAGACGCCACATTTGTGTCTCCATACAGACTTTTGGGACACAACGTTATCCCAAAACAAATACAATAAAAAACAATACGATTACTAATTAGCTGTATAAGAACCTACATTCAATATCACTGTGTAAAAATTAATTCTTCCATAATCAATATTTTAAACGTTCTTACAAAAAATTGAATAGAATAGTATTCATAATAATAATATAATATTTTTTATTGCAAACCTTCAAAGTTATGATTAAAAATGCACTTAAGTTTTAAAAAAAAAAAACTGAAAAACATCAAACTATTAAAATTCTATACAGAGGTCACAAACAATAAGTGACAATGCAAATTGTCAAATTGAGTTTTAGGTACATCAATCAATAATAAGTATTAACAATAATAAATAATAATGATCTCAATTCTCTATTGCCTATAAGTATAATATACTCGAAATTATAGTAAAGTAAAAATATATATTTTGTGCCATGGTGTGGCGCAGTGGCTGACCGCAGTTACGTTAAAGTGCTGAAGTCACACTACGCCCGGCGTGGCAAGCTCCCGGATGCGTGACCACCCGGATTTTTGGCCACGAAACATGGCGCACACACACAATTATACCACATGTTACAAACCTAACAACTCAAAAATCTATTGAAAAAATATTAAAAATAACCCCTTACTGTACCACCTCACACCCAATGGCCTATGTTGGCCACCAAATAAAAAAAAATATATATATATATTTACTATTACTTGTTAATTGTTATATACCTATATAGTAAATTTATATATTTTGATAATCATTCGATTTTTATGGTTCATATTAAATGCATGTAAACTAACTGTTATTTTACTCAAGTTAATTTTTAATTTTGGAAATCTCAGTAAAGTATTTTTTTTTAATGTTTTACGTACTTTCAAATTCCAAGAATAAAACCCAAATTTAAAAAAATAAATGGTCGATGTCAAGACTCGAGACTAATTATTAATCTTTGGTAGTGAATAAAATATAAAATAACCATAAAATAAATACATAGTTCAGGTAAATCAAGTTCTAGCAGTAGTTCTACGCTGATCTACATTCCTACATTTTATGTACAATCATTCTCGTCTGCAGTCTAAAATGTTTTTTGTCTGTTCCATATTGATCACCTATGTCACAAAAAAAGGTACTGTTCGATATAATATCATAGGCCCTACATTATAAGTTTCAAATAATAATTTGATAGATAATGATGCATAAAATCACATTATTAATAATACAAAATAGACACCTATTTTGTATTATTTACGTAATTCAATTGATTGTACAAATAAAATATTTAATTAAGCATATCTATTATGTATCTGTCTATAAATTTAAAAAACTAATGTCTGTATGTTTGTTTGTCCTCTATCGCCTCAGAAACTACTGAACCGTTTTAAATCAAAGTTATGCCAATAGATTCCTAGAGATTCGAGAAGTTAAATAGATTTATCTATACTTTATTTTTAATGTAATTCCTATATGTTTTATAGGGTTTCTCACGCATGCATTTAATTGTAGCTCGTGAATGTTGCATACATTTTGTCTATTTAAATGGTTGAAATTGGTTACAGATATCCAGAGTGACAATAAAATAGTTAGATATTATGATTGGTTATAATTATAAATTGTAATGTTTTGTATTATATTTTATTTTATCATTCAAGCAAATAAAGCTATTCTATATAATATTATTTGTGAAATTTAGTAACAACTATTATAATACATACTAGGCAAAGTGGATGGTTGAGGTGTATATATAAATGAGTACGAGGACCCTAAACTAAAAAAATTTAGACAAAAAAAACAATTGAGAATATTTCAACTGAAGCGAAACGGAAATGATGGAAGAAATTAAGGAATGGATAGATAGATACTCAAATAATACAGACTAATCAGGTTATATTTAAAATATGTAATATGCATTAATATATTATACAAATCCACTATTTTTGACTAATTGCCTACAAATTTTGCCCACAATATATTATTTAAGATCCCAGATGGGTCGTAAGAGTATTAGAATATGAACCACAGGTGACAGTTGTTATATTATATTATTATAAAAGGCATAATTTATGGTAGAACTGGCTTATAAAATCAATAAATACTTGACCGATTTTGACGATTCGGGGATGGTTAAGATTTAACTAGATATTCTGGGGTGGCTTTACCGCTGTACATAATATTAAAATCATAACCACATATTCTTTATTTCTGTTTCTAATTGCAGGTGACTCGTAAGAAAAAAAGTTGTTCGTTATTATTCTATCTACGCAGGTGCATGATTGCCCGCCCTGGTTACATTTATCCACGGCCAACGTTGGTTATAAAGCTAGTTAATAATTCATTTTAAAAATATAAGTTAAGATCTATTTTTTCAGCTTAAGTAGATTTCAGACCACTGAGGCGATTTTCGGATGTTACTGAAATCCATCGACAGGGAAGACGAAATTTATAATAATATTATAATAATTAAGTGCTCCATCATACCATAGCGAAATTCTAAAAGTTCTATACGCAATAAATCGTATAAGTAAAATAGGCATGTCATTAAATGTTGCTTAATATAATTTTGGTTCACTCAAAGTAATTATACCTATAATTGATTTTAACGAAATTATTTTACGGAATACATACAAATATGGGTGTTTTTTCGCTTTATGATTTCCATGAAATATAAATTGCACGCATATTATTATACAAGTCAATTTTCAATTTTTAGCATCCGTTTGTTTAGATAAGTGTCCGCGATGAGCTCCTCCCCTTATTTTGTTTGTGCGATTTACCTATAGGTAGGTTTGCCTATAATGTACAACCGCGGTTTTCTCGTTTATAATAAATCATGTTGGACGCGCACCTAGTTTAAACATTTAATGCTGAACACATTAAACATATTAATATTTATACCTATACGGCTATACAGTATATACATACCTAGGTACATTACACGTGTGTGTGCGGGTTACGTGCGTGTCGGCCGTCGGGTGTGATTTTGAAAACTCTAAACAAACAGTATGACAAGCGACCGTGTTGTAGGTTATAAAACACGAGTATGGCTACAACAATATTATAATATTATAAACTATAAACAACATAAACCATCGAGTCTATAATCGATCCTATACTCTCAGAAGTTTACATGTAACGATGGTTAGGTAGATAGGTAGCTATATGTACCTATATATATTATACAACTCCAGACTCGGTGGTATTGTACAACTCTCACGCGTGATCAATCACAACAAATTATCAACAAAATTCAAATTTCAAAGTAGCTCGATAGTATAGGGAGATATATTATGTTTGTATAATATAACGTACATACGCATAAATATAGGAGCTACTCGACGTTGACGTGGAAAACATTTACCCTTTTCATTTGACTTATTATACAATAACGTTGAGTAACTCCTGTATATAGGCGTATGTAATTATTACGTTCACTAGCATGCGGAAAATATGTTTTATAATACACAAACTTATATATTAACGTTTAACCTATTAACCTATATAATTGAGTAGGTAAATGTATACAAGTCGAATATTCACTGTCACATTCACCATAGAATTCCTATACCTAGGTAGTTGAAAAGTTTATTTTTTGCTCGAGGTGCCCGGTGCTGGTTTTATATATTATTTGTCTAGTATATCTTAATTATTATTATTTGTCCACTAATCTATTGTCCGATCCCTATTTCGGGGGAACTTCCTATATGCCGCATTAGTCATTCTTTAAAGCCAATTTTTTCATTTTATTTCAAATAATAAACATAAGAATATTCTTTAATTTTTTTTTTTTTTTTTATTTATTTGAAGAAATCTTTAATCTATACATGGTTTTTGTACAATAAGTAGGTTTGGTGAGTGACAAGTAAAAAAATAATATGGGTAATTAGATTAGGGAAGATACCCAGTGGTAACACCCTATGGTTTAATTTTTTAAAGACATAAATATGATAAAAAAAACTTTGAAATTAAAATATTAAAAACAGAGTTCAATGCGGCCTGTAGATTGTAAAATATCAAGTAAACTCTATTAATTAAAGGAAAATCACCAAATTTGATAGATTCTACAGGACAAGATCATATTAGGATTATATTCCCGTATAGTGTACTTTTGTGGATAAAACAACATTGACACTGGGCTCCAAAAAAACTTCATACTCGACATTTACCACATTTTTTAATTGTCTAATTAACTAAATAATTTGCTTACTTAATTTAAAATAGAGATAACTTTCAGCTCTTAATTAAAAAATAATCCAGTAAGTTCAAATAAATATTGATTCCATATTTTGATGTTTTATGTACAAGCCAGTAAGCCACATAAATTTAAATACAAATACGCCAATAATTAACTCCATAAACCTACATTTTTCTCGATAACCAATAGATAATAAAATACCTAGGTACCTAGCTACCTGGCTAAATATTAATTATTGAAGTAGGTATCAAATATTAATCAATTTTTAATATTTATGTAATTTTAAATTCTGAGCGATTTGTGCCTTTCATCACCTCCTTTTTGAGCAAAACCAGTACTTCAACCTTCAAATTTGACTTTTGAGAGTGGTTACTGCCTTCCTGCCTCCTGGTAGGTACGAACCTACTACCTAGGTAGCTAATACTTAATAGGATCTAGTTGGTGACTACTTTATTTCCTTATGGAATAAAGAAAACATTTCCAGGAATAATTAAGGAAAAACAGTAATTTTTACGCAAAACCAGATAAATTTGATGTCACGCGGTAGTAAATTATTATTGTTATAATCGAAAGCGTTGGTTAGTTTTATTTTGAATCATTGAGTACTAAATACAATATAATTAAATTGTTATTATAGTACTATTTTACAGGTCATTGGACCATCGAGGTGTAAATTAATATATTTTATAATATTCTCATAGAGCTTATAGGT